CTAGGTTTGTTGTCATGGTAACATTACTCTTTCCTCCTTACTGTTACCATGACGTTTGCATCAGTTTTCAAGAATCATTACTACTATGTGTGCTCCTTTATTGTTGTATCCAATATTCTGCAGGTTGTTTTTCCCAGTCAAATTGACATTATGACATCAACGTTAGCGTTGTTATTGGATTGGCTTCTCTCTTTTAAAGTTTTGTTTGCATTTTGCCATGATTTAGACATGATTGACTTGTTGGTGTTGTCTGTTGCTGTGTTCAACATGAACCTAGTCACTTTCCCCTCTGCCAATCAATGGTTTCTTTCATTGCTGAGAGATTTACCGTCAGAAACTCAGGCTTTCTCAGGTATTCTGCATAGAATATTTGGAAAACAAATATATATTTATTTTAAAAAAAAACTAACACACACACACTTGAAGAAAAACTAGAAAATTGGTTTACAGCAACGTCAGGAAAGAAAAATAATGCACAGTTTTTCCACCATTCTCCTTGCCTACCGTAGTTGTATTGATCAAGCCCTCAAGTGTATGGATACAATGTATTTGCTCTATTGAAAGTGCATGAGCACGTAATAACAACAAATTGCGTTTGTTGTTAAATATATTGATCATAAACATTTATTTGTTATTTACATAATTGTAAGTGCATGCACTTTATATGTAAATAACAAATGAATGCCCCATCCCCACCACTCTTCTGAAACTTCATCTAAATAACTGAATTGAACTGATAAAACAAAAACCGTTTGCATATACAGGGTATTAGGGGTTTGTAATTGGGTGTAATGGGGTCAAGATGCGCATGTACTCTTATACTATTGATGGTATAGAAGTAGACATCTCCTACACTGACTACTACAATTCACATGTAAAATAAATAACTTTTTTTCCAGTTCATTCAGTTATTTAGATGAAGTTTCAGAAGAGTGGTGGGGATGGGGCATGAGTCATGGTTTAATCAGTTCAATACTTTTATATAAATTTAACACACTCAGTGTTTTTTGCTTATGAATTGATCACATTTTTGTCTCTATCACCGCAGAGACACCATGTCTGACCCAATTGATCTTCCATCTGTGATTTCTACTACATTGCCTTGTCAGCTGTGTGATATTCAGTGTTTCACTGTCTCCATAAATTATAACATTATCCTTTCCTGATCATAAGGACCAGTACACTGTACTAGTCCACAAGTTCACTGAGCTGCTAATCACTTTTATCATAACATTATTTATATATTTTTGTTTGTATAAAAATGTTTCTTTATATCACAACACATTGTTTTCTCTAAAAAAAATTGTTGATATTTTACATATTTATATTGTACATGTATAACAAAAATATACTTAAATCAATAAAAAGCTGCATGTAAGCATGCCTGGGTCACTGTAAAATCTGTATTAGAAGCTGTGGCTTAAAATAGTACATAATAACAGAGGATGTGGCTTCTATTAGAGCAACCACACATATGAGAAATGGTGAATTTTTGGTCTTATGGTAATTAGTGTTTTGTGACTATTATGTGAATTTTGAATCCTGGGTATTTGTCTTCAATATTAAATTTTCATTTTCCGTACATCCAAGCTGACGATCACTTGTTCTTCCTGTTTGATTGTTTGTTCTAATTTTATTTTTCCTCACTTTTTGACAACTGTTGTGGTGTTGTGATGGGCGAGTTGTTAACACATATACATACATACCATCAAATGTCGCATGGTAATTCAAATAGACCGAACGGTGTTGTCTCAGCATATGTTCAGTTTATTTTACCGTATGATAATATTTGGTTGAAACACAAATTTCGTTTGTGTATTTGTATGTTCAGCTGATGTTACTTGATGGAAAGAAAATTAAGCTGCTTATGTACATGTATATTAAAAAATATAGAAAAATGTTCTATTAGACTAAATTAACCACATCATAAAAAAAAATTAGATTATCTTCTTTTTGTGAGAAAAAAGCATTCGATGAACTATTAAAACACTTGTGTCGGTTAGTGTTGCTCATTTTAAATGTCAAATGAAAACTTCCATGTAACAAGTGTTACAGATTGTACACAGCCCAAATTGTGCATCCCCGATCAGCATAGAGAGAATCTCTTTTTTTAGAAATGCTCCAGTTTATGAGAAAGATTAGTCAAATCCTTCGTGCTCATGGCTATGCATATGGAAATGTAATCAGTGACTTTTTTTTTTTATTTCTGCAAAGTAGAGTAATAATTTAATCATTTTCAAACCTTGAATGAAAACCTGCATATATAATTTTATCCAGAATAGAGAATACAATTTTTCTGCTAAATTTTGTTATATCGGGGTATAACTGTAAATCGTAAAATTTTGGCAGTTTTGATGATTTAATGGCATTCTTGAGGGCAAAAAAATTTCCTGAATTTTGAGATTTAACACTGACTGTTTACGATCCTAGCGTAGCATTTTCAGTACCCTCTGTAGTAGATAATCTGCATGACTTCTAACATGTCATGTTACTTACTGTGAGTAACAGCAGTAATCTGTAATATTACACCCCAAGTTTTACTATGTTTAACTATTTTTTCAATATTCATTGTCAAATTGTTCACAATTTCTGAGGAATTAATTGAAAAATGTTCATTGTTATGTGCTTTGTATCTCCAAGAAAGTACCAGGATGTGTGACCTTTTATAGAGCCTTCGTTTCCATTTCGATTTGCCCTTTTAATTTATGGGGTTATCGTAATCTTGATATCAACTGAACCATACAACTACACATTAATTTCCCCAAAATAGTCACATGACAAGTTCTGTTTTTGTTTCATTAGAAGCACAACTCCTATAAAGGTGCACATTACAACGACAAAATAATCTTAATTTCCACAAAATTAATTAAGATCTGTTCAGATGTTGTAAAATCTTAACTCCGCATGCTGACACCTTTTTTTTCTCGATTCATTTCGGACATTCTGAAGAGGTTTTAACAGATGTTGTGTGCTCCAATTATTTTCTCCAAAATGCCAAACGCTGTACTATTAATTGCGTCGTCGTTGTGCCACATTGTGTTCGATGTAGGTCCCAGTAACATATACCACAATAATACAATGTGTTGCTATAGGCAGCTGAAAAAAAAAGTTGAAAATTGTGGTGAACCGCCCTTCACATTCCATATAAGTGCTGAAATAAATTTGATATTTTTCTCTTTTTCTAATGTCGCACTACGAAATGTAATTTATGATGCCTGGTTATTTTCTGTCACTTTAATTTATTTTTCACAAATCACCAAGGAGACTATCATATTTCTTTTAAGCCTCAAGCTGGTAATCAGTTTTCCCCCGCAAAGAATCATTAATTTTTTTTTTCAAATTGTAGATTTCAAATTATGTATGTTTTGTTAGTGGATGATAATTTTTTAATAGTTAAAATTATTTGATATTTTTTTTTGTTTGTCGAATAAACATTTATTTTGAAAAATATTTTTTTCAGTTGACTGCATCATTAATTTTTTCCCTTTTGATGAAAAGATTTATTCTGAAAAACATTTTTTCAGGTAAAAGGGGGTTTTGTCTGAACACTGAATCAGAAAGTTAATAACAGTAAGAACTCTCATTTTGTTCTTTGCATCATGTCTTAAAAATTGATGCAAATGTTTTTTTTCAATTTCCGCTGATCCCTCCCGCACTATCTTTGCAAATACAGGTCATCATGAATTCCTGCAGGTGTAATTCCTTTCCATCAAGTGCCAAAAATTGACAGTTATTCTGCAAATAATTGCACAGATATACAATATGTAATCAACAAGGAATAACCTACATGGCTCTCTCTACAGCTGTGATCACTTGGATCTATTCTAGTATTGGTTTCTTTACCTCGTACTTTGATGGATGGCTTAATTCTACACTTCGTTTGTCATTTTTTGAAATGGATATTTTTCTCGGAAATCGTCTTAAAACAAATTTTTGTCTTCGTCTTTACATCTACATAGTACATGATTTCAAGATCATTTAAGTGTTTGAATTCATTATACATGGTTGTTTTAACACATCGTATGTTGATAATCGTCTCGGATAGTAGCAGATTGTCGATATCTATCGTATAAAAAATCTCCAGCAGGCGGTGTGTGAAAAAATCTCTGTGTCATTTATGTAATAACTTTCATCGTAATTTCAGATTATTTCCAACATGTTTGCTAACCCCAACAGTGACGGGGGATTGGAATGGGGCAGTGGTGAATGGGTCTGGGGAGTGCGAGATATATATGTTGACAGCCTCTAATTATTAAGATACTGATGAGAGCAGTCAGGATCACCACTTTCCTTTCTTGTGTGTGTTTAATCATTGATTACAGGTACCATGTATACAGGTTAAACCTTCTATCACCTCCCTTGGTTTCAGAGAATTGGTCTATTCGTGTTGTGGAAAACATATAGAGCTATTCCATTTTAGTGTGGATTGTATGTGGTGGGGGTGTGATGGGTGGTAGTTAAGAGTATACAATGTGCATGTACATTGTAGAATTGTGACGTTTGATGGTTTATGACTGTGTACTAGTTCTGTGTTTCTGGTAACATCTTTTATTCTGATGAATATGTATGAATATTCCAGTCAGTGTCAATAATCCAAGTCATTCATAAAATGGAAATTCTGTTTTCCTGAGTTCCATGGATTTACTTCATCTTTTCAAGAACTGCCTATGAATCAACTGTCATGTTTGAATACAGGTATTTTTTGTGTGTGTTTGCGAAAATGACATACAAGGCATGTTTGGGCAAATGTCTGTATGTGTGGTTTAGTATGGATTGAATATACCATTTTATGTATGTGTGCAGATTTGCCTCGCAATTTTTCAGGAGTAGATAAGAACTACCATCAGCTGTTTCCGACTCCACCAAAATATATTCATGGAATTTCTTTGTATGTTAGTATATTGAGATCAATCATGCGCACTGATTTATGATTTCATTGTAGCTGTAGCTTTGTCATGTTTCCCAATGTAATGCTTAATATTTCTTTCATACTTTTACAGGATGGATCCGGGAGAGAGTCCATCACAGAAAAGTCCAGGGTCACGTGGATTTTTTGACCCTGCACACTTACTTGGAGGTGAGTGCTTATTAAATGATATGTTACCCCCTTCCCTTTACACTCTGTTGATCCCATTGACCTACCATGTCACACTTAGTGTTCTCAGCGGACACAAGACCTCATGCTTTAAATTTTAATCCCAGGTTGTTGTTTTTTTAATTCCTGGGATGTTTTGTCTCAAAAAATATAAGAAATAAACAGGTAAAGTGACAATTTATGTAGAATGAAATTTCAAAAAATCAAGCATGTTTGCATATTAAACATTTTAGTTGTTTTACAACAGACAGTTCATGAAACTGCTTTGAAGACTCCACCACCCCTATGAGGAGAATAAAATATGTCATGTCTCTGCACTCAAGCACCCTCTTCAATATCCCCCTCTCGTTTTAGGCTGCTTACCATGGTTGCAGCCTGCTGTGTCACTCTCTCTGATATAGTCCAATGACCCCTGGGGGTCACTAAACCTGGCACTTTCTGGGAATATTGAATTTGTACATGTGTACTGTAGTGGTCATAATTTCCCATATTGCACCTTACTTTCGACACGTTTTTGAACGTCAATGAAAATTGCTCAAATGTTTCTTGAAAAAAATAATTGAAAACTTCTCAGTTACCCGGTAAGTGTATTATTTCACATCGATGTCCTGTAAATCATTTAATTTTTACTGCTAGGAATTTTTTCACTATTTGAAAATCTTGCGGCATTCATGAAAACAAAATTTTGCCAAAGTCATTACCATTCCTGTGTGGCTTGACCCAAGCAAATACTAATGTACTACAAAATTTTGTGATTTTCAAAATTCACAAAAATGCTTTTCTTGTGAAATTTACATATTAACTCGGTCATTTTAAAAAATATTATAATATCCCACTATTATTAGAAATATTTTCACAAAACAGGGGATACCAATATACCATAACAACTTATATTTCCGCTATTATTAGCACATGCATTTACGTAAATATAGGTGTGTCTACAGTCAAAATAGGTGAGATATAATAATAAATTTAATAATCTAACAAACAAACAATAAAAGCAATTTCTGGTTTATGTACAAATATGTTAAAGCAAATATACACAGGAAATGATGCTTAGATGTTGATATTGGGAGGTTCATTTGAAGTGGAACAGTGATATTGGTGATATTGGTTTAGGGGAGTTGGAAGGGAGGGGGAGAGGGGAGGGGACAGGCCCCTTCATCTAGCAATAGAGAAAATTGTCATGTATCGGGAAGTCACTGTATGAGGGGTATGTTGACAAATACAAGACATTATACAAAAAAACAACAACAGTATAGCCATACCATTATTTTTGTATCTGTGTGTTCTATTTCTGGTGACTGTATTTCTTAGTTTATATATATTCACCTGTATTTGATTTTCGCTAGATTTTAAACTGCATCCTTGTTTTCAGCTTTATTAGCACATACGTCTATTCCATTGGCCCTAACCCTAACTACCATGCTACTCAGAAAACAAAGGGAAGCTGTGCCTTCATAGTGTGATAGACAGAAACACTGATAATGTGCAAAATAATTTTCAATATTGACAGAGAACAAATAAGTTTATATTGCTGGATAGCATCTGAACTTTTGGAAGTTCAGCTCAGGTCATGTTTGATTCATTAATCATTTGTACAATCTGTCATATTAACGCACAGCCGCAATCGAATTGTCCATCAAATGTAACATTATATATGTTTGTTGTGCTGGCTACCAGTCGCCATCTTGTCCTGATATGACCAGGAGGGTTGTAAAATTTTTTTTCATAATTCTTGAGACGGGGGTGAAAAAAAACATTTAAACACTTTTAAATTATTTACTGGGTTTTATTTTCATTGACAACAGAGTCGGGTTAAATTCAGGTGAATATCTACAAAAAAACTGGTTGTTCAACTACCAAATCCGACGCAATCAATAAATCCAAAATACATAATTAGCATAATTAATTAATTTATTTAATTAAAGTCCAGTGATGATGATTTTACAGTATCAGTAGAAATTGTGTTAATGAAAAACGACATTTCTGTTGCTTCTAAAAAAAGTATTTTTGTAGTACCGGTAATACATGTGTCATCATCGGGGGAAGTAACTGCACAAAAAATGAAATAATATTGAACATTTTCGCCACCAGTTCCCTCTTTTCATCACAAATTCACAAAATAGTCCTGTTTATAAATTATAGGTTACCCGGTACTTTCTTTCAGAAGATTTGGACAAAATAAGTAAATTTTTTGGAGTAAAACTGAAAATTGTCTCAAATTTTGGCTGTTGGCTCCAAAATTAGGTTTCAATTCCAAAAATATTGAAGAATATAAGAAAAAAAATGCAGCAAAATTTGGGCAAGAAAGACTGGTGGCGAAAAGGTTAACATTTTATATAATAGAGTTAAATGCCAGTTTCAACAAATCTGACTAAAATGTCTGAATATACAGCTAAAATGTCAATATTCTCATTACCAGTCTTTCTTCATTAGTCACTCTTGATGTTTATTATTGGCAAGGAGGCTGCTACTGCTGACTCAACCACTCAAAAATTTAATGATCTTCTCGCAAACAATTCAGCTAACTTTAGAAAAAATGATTTTGTCATGGTCAAAATAAGTGAAAAATGTACGCAAAACTTTGTAAACAAACTCCCCCACAAAACCCTGCGTGAGATCTATGCATTTAACTATAATAAAATGCACAGATCTCATTGGATGCATCTGTGAAACATGTACCCAATCAGAATTTGTGAATTACCAACAGACACGATGTCCTTTTTTTTGTGTATACGCAACTTACGAGCAAGGGTAGGACAAAAATATGAAAGGTCAAAAGAACAACGTACAGACACCATCTTCAGTTACCAGTTTGAAAATATGAACTGAAAAGGCAATGGTATGTGTGTTTTGCTGAGTAAATATGACCTCGACAGTTTTTCATTCCCTGAAATACCCCCAAAATATTTCACTATATAGGCAAAGATAATTTGCATTTTTTTGCATAATTTGCAAGTTTTTCTTGCTTAAGCAGAATAGTGTGCAAATTACTAGACATATGAATTGAAAGATGATGGCACTTTTATTTGAGGTTTTTTTTTTCATGCTTCATTTTGGAAACACGGACAAGCGTTGTACTGTACCTTTCAGTTTTATGACCTCAAGTGCAGGTGGACAAACTATCAACACGTTAACACTATCAATTCGGAAATCAGGAATTGCTATAGCGTATGGCAATTGATAGAAAGCAAAATGGTGGGATGACGACCTGCACTTAAATACAACACACTATGTATAGAATCTGCTAATTTTAAGGTGTAGTTGTGAGCCAATAAACTGTATATATGAACCATGGCTGGCTAGTAGAATGGTGGTCAAATTGCTTGATCAAAATAAAAAAAATATTGCTTTAAGCAGAAATTATTTGGTCAAATAAAATGGTATATTCACTTCACTGAATCTCTCAGGTCAATTATGCGAACAGATAACCTTAGGATTACAGAAAATATGAAAATAATCTAACACAGCAGAAATAATATTTTCTTACCTTGGTCACACTAATAATTTTTTGACCCAGCTAAGTGTAGTGAATAGGATATGAAACCTGATCTGTGCTGACTATATTGTTGTTATGCTATCATTTTTTCCCGCCAAAATTTTTGATGCAGCATTTTAGTGCAGTTTCCTCTAATTTCTTGGTTAATTGAACATAATTTCTTATTGGCTACCAAATTTGGTCAAAATTATAGAAAAATATGAAATATATTCGGGTTTACTTTTTGAAATGTGATGAAAGTTGACCTAGGTGTTCAGAGGTTTTTATTACATGCCTTTATTTCGACGCAAATTCGATACATGGTTTTAGAACAGTATCTTCCTTGGAATTTTTTGGTCCAGTGAAGCATGTATTGACCATTGCCACTTAAACGGGCTGTTGCTAGGCAGAGCTGCTTGTTCAACAGTTCAGCTGGTTATGAAAATATTACAGCCCGGTATGGGCAGTGTGCCCTCTCACGCTTAAATCTTGGTCTGAATGAAATGTATATTGTAATTGTTCTATTAGAAACACGTAAAGCAAAAATTGCTACACGTAAAACAAATACGGTATACTTCATGAATGGTCTAGTTTTCAAAATACAAAAAATGTACGACATTTCATGCATGTAGCTCATCAATTTATGTTTAATTGTCACTAATTTTCATTAAAAAAAAGGTAATTATGATTATTAATTAGAACATTATTGTGCTCACACAATTATTGATGACATCTTGAATTGTGTACAAGTTTTACCGTGATCCCTCAGTTAGTTGGACCCTTGATCTCTCTGTTAGTTGAACCCCTCCCACTGTAGTTGGACCCCTCCCTCTGTTAGTTGGACCCCTCCCTCTGTTAGTTGGACCCCTCCCTCTGTTAGTTGGACCCCTCCCTCTGTTAGTTGGACCCCTCCTTCTGTTAGTTGGACCTTTCCCTCTGTTAGCTAGACCCCTCCCTCTCTATTAGTTGGAATACAGTACTTAATTTCTGTTTTGATCATAATTTTGAATTATTCTCAAACCACCTGCCAGGAAATTGTCTCATTCCGATGATTTCAATCCAACTTGATGTTTCTTCATATTGATAAAAAAAAAAAAGATTTGAATTATTCAATGCTTTCTTATTTTTTCCACTTTAAAATTACGTTACCTCTGACCATCTATGTATCAATAACATGCCATGTTATTAGTTTAGAAGGCACACTGTCAGGAGGGATCTGTTCTGCTAGCACAAGGGTGAAAATGTCTGTAATCAGGCTGTGATATTTCTATTTGATTTCTCTTTCTTCTGATGTTCATGACATTAGCTCCTCAATGCAATCACATCAGTTAAAATCCAGCCAAACACCTTACAGTACTGCACATAGCAACAGTCTGTTCAAGTTACAATTTGATATTGGCTCTATTTTCTGTGAGTAGTGTATGCTTTTACCTACGTACCGGTACTTGTAAATGATCAAATTGTCAATATTTTAAATGCTCCAGCATATTGTAAAATGCAA